CCCACGGCGACGGCGTCCCCACCAGCTATCCTCCGTCCCCGTACTGAATGCCCTCGCTCCCCCACGGCGGTCACCTGTGAGCTGAGCGCGTCAGGGCCCCCGACGCCCGTGCGGTCGAGATCCCCCGATGCCCAGCCCTGTGGATGCAACGAGGTGGTAGCAGCTAATGCCACCCATCGGGGAACCCGTGGCTCGCTGATCGCTCTGCCCAACCATAGCGCGTGGGACGTGCGGCCCCATCAGCCTAGGCCCGTATCGCAGGCATGCGGCCCCCGACGTGGGCCCTGATCGTCATGGCGGGTGCCCTTTTTCCCTATCTTAGTCTACAGCTCTGGCCCTTCCTGGATATACGCAGGCCCTGAGCCTTTGGACATCCAGATTCCCTTACCCCTTCAGATCTCAGAAACTGCGTTTGCACCGACCTCTGACTGCGTCCCTGACCTTTGTCTACATCCCCGACTCGCATCTGCACCCCCGAGATCTTCCCCAACGGCGTACAAGACGGCCCTGACAGAGCATCACTCAGTACGTGGTGTCCCCCGAAGGCCCCAAACAGTGTCCTCCCCTCCTCTTCTTGGCCAGGAGCAATAAGCTCGCTCAGCCCCCCTGCGTGCCCACCGTGTTCATAGAGAACTTGGGATCGTACTCAATTCTCCTTGCCTCTTATAAGTCATCTTTTGGGTCTCGTCCTCTCAGCCCTTCGACCCCGACATCCTAGCAGCCATTACGGGAGGCTTGGGTGCATCAGTGGATGTGCGTGTAGTGAGCGATGTTGATGACTTGGTGATCCAGATGTGTCCAGGGCTGAGTGCAAGATTGCAGCGCATGCTTGAGGTGTCTGCAAAAGCACTCCATAAAGAAAGTCCAGGTGGACCAGATAGGGCCCACTTCGATGATGTTGTTGACAATGTGGAGGAGTCCGTTGGAGTAGGGAGCGAGGGAGAGGGAGAGGGCAAGGGCAGGCTGAGGGAGGAGCAGGAGAGTGCTTAGTCAGCAAGCGCCCAGAGGGAGAGCGAGCGTTGTACCGAGCAGAGGAGTTCTTCATGTTCGGCATCTGGGAGCAGCCTTCGGGATTCATCCTCTTCGAGCCACCGAGTCTCCGAGTCTGAAAGCCATCTGAGCATCTATTCTGAGCCTGCCTAGTCTACACGAGAGCGCCTCTGGTCTACCAGTAGACTACTCCATCTGGTGATGACAGTGGTGTTCGACCCAACCCTTTCGTACCAACCGCCTGCCATTGACACCCATCGTGGCGAACACAAGCAAGAGCTGAGGAAGAACAGATATCCCGCGAGACTTCAAAGGGAAATTCGTGAAGAGATCAGCGATCACAAGCACATCGGAGGATGAAGTCGACCCCAACGTCACATCAGACAACCTTGGCGACGTCAGCAACGTACTTGAAGAAGAGCTACGCAGGCGTGAGCGCGCGGAGACAAACACAACAGATCGAACAGTAACCAGCACCCAAGTACCGTCGACCACAATGGCGGGAGTCAATCCCAACATCACATGGCCGCTCTTCGGAGGCGACGAGAACCTGAAACAGTTCTGGAACAATGTCGAGGAGTACCTAGAAGGGTGTGAGGAGGCAACAAAGTGCAAGAGGGTGGCGA